GGCCAGCCCGATCCGAATTCATTCGATTCGATGTGATCTCTGGTCGAAACTTCCCGAGGAGCAGAGAGAGGGGAGCGATGAGGAGGAGAGGTTCGAATAATGATTACTCGACGCGGGGAACTCCTCATATGCATCTCTGCTCTGGCGAGGCCCCCGCGTTTGAGTTTCTGAGTATGAGCGAGGTTGGGCAATTGAGTAGGAGTTGGTATGGTCGTATGAGCGAGTCTGGGCATGGGTGGGCCATCAAGTCCGTCATGCACTTGTGGTGGGCTCCACATTGGATGCCGCAGACGCCATGCCTGCTATATCGCGACGATCATGGGGCTCTGAAAGGAGAGAGGTTCGGGGGCCAAACAAGAGTTGTGTTTGAGCCGTCCCCAGAATCTGAACGCGAACGGGCAAGTGTCTTGCCCTCCTGGCAGGTCCCTTTTGGGGTGCACAAGCGTTCATGCCTGATGCATCGCGATGACCATTGAGAGTTGGCACGAATCAGGACTCGAACGGCCGACTCCCCGTCGGGGTACCCAAGCTTGTATGCCTGGAACATCGCGATGATCATGGTGCTCTTAATAGAGCCCCAGGTACCAGAGGAGGCGCCCGATTAGAGAGCTAACACAAATGTTGATGCCAGCGGCACCTGAAAGCGAGTACACATTTGGACGCGAACGAGCTCGTGGAACACGCCTGCTCTCCCTTTGGGTACTTCATGTTGCATGTCGGTTGCAGTGTTCGTATGCTTCGTTTTTTGTTTGAAAAAATTCGGAATCATGAAGGCGGCCCTCCGCGCCGCCAGGACGGCCCGCAAGGAAGACCGCATCGTGGCCTACCTAGAGCCAAGGGTCGACGACGCCTGCTGCTTGCAGCGTCCGTTGGCCCAGTCACTGCCGCGAGCTCCCGCGCCTTCTGGGCGGCCGCCCTGGAGCGCCGTGTGTCGTGGGGGGACGTCCTCAACTACGTGGGACAGGTGGCTGCTGCTGCCAACGACAGCGCCGTGCCGCAGCACGTCGCCGAGCAGGCCGCGGCCTTCCAGTCTTCCTGGGCTCTTGTCGAGGCCTACTCGAGCAGCACGCGGGGGGATGACGACCAGGAGGGCCAGGGTAACGCCAGCATCGTCCTCGGCGAGCTTGACTGGAGCAGACTCACCCGCTGCCAGGCGGAGGTCAAGCAGACCGGCGCCGCCGCGGCCGCCAGCCAGGACAGCTTAGTTTTTCCGTGCCAGCGCTTCCTCTTTGGACAGTGTCCAAAGCAGGAGGCTGTCCAGTTCCGCCACGGGTGCCCCTGTGCCGCGCCACAGGCCCGGGTTCGTACAGGTGCCTGGTGGGCCACCTCGAGCAGAACGGCCTCCTCTCGCGCAGGGGCGGTGGCGGCAAAGACGACAGGAAAGAGACAACGCCACCTCCCCGCCCGCCCCAGCCACTTAACAAAAACCTTGCGTTCTGCTTCGCCCGAACTCCCGAACTCTCACGTCGGAAGAGCTGTGGGGACGTGGGAGTAATTGCAGAGCGGCACCTAAATGCAGCGATCGGCGGCGCCGACGGCGACAACGCTGCCCTGGCGGCCGCTGCCGCGGAGCGCAGGCTCCCCGCCGGGAAGGCGGGCTGGGGCGCCCGCGCGCCTGCCCGCTGCACAGGGCAGGCGCGCGGTGCCGGCTGCGGCGGTCCTGGGGCCCACCCAGCTCGCGCGCTCCACGGCGGGCGCCTCCCCGGCCAGGGGCGGGCCCGAGGATCGGCCGAAGGGGCATTTTCGGACGCCGCTGGCGCGCGGCCGCGACGGTCAAAAGGGCGCGAGCGTTGAGGGGCGCGCCCAGAGGACAGCCGGGGTGGCGCGCCGTCGCCCGCCGCGGCAAGTGTGGCGCCGCTCGAGAGTGAAGCCCTGCAGGGTTGCCCGCTGGCGCTCGCTGGGCTGAGAGCGAGTGGGGTCTCGCGCGCAACCGCTCCCCTGCTCGTTCCTTCCTCCTTATCCCCTGCCTCCCCGCCCTCCTCCCCCGCCCCCCCCGCCTGCCCTTCGGCCGCCGCCGTGTCTCCGCCCCCTCCTCGCTGGCTCACCTCCGCATTTTCCGCTTGCCCCCCCGCAGACACAAGCAGACTTGTTAGAACTTGTTCCAGGCGCTCCTGGAGCTGCTGTTCCCGGCGACGGAGAGGCCTTCACAGTGGCCCGCGGTTGGGTCGCCGACCCCGCAGTGGCCGTTCACCCGCGGGGCGCCGTCGCCACGGTGCCTTCGAGGGGGCCGTCGCCCGCCCAGCACCTGCAGGCGTTTCTGCAAGTGGCCTCCATAGGAGGCCATCCGCGGAGGGTACGGCGAGCGCGCTGTGAGCGCAGGTCCACTTTGGCACAGGCATCAACGAGGTGCGTCCCAAGTGGTTCGCCCAGCCAGAAGTGCGGAGAGGGACCTTGAGAACAGCCAGCGAAGCCTGGCCGATTCGGTGGACCCTGTTTCAGGGGCTTCGCCAGTGAACCCACTGGTCTTTTCCTCCGCCTGTTGCGGCTCATCGCCCCCCCCGCATTGCGGTTTTTCGAAGACTTGCACCGGGGTTTGCCCGACACGGGAGTGCCAGCCGCTTCGGTCATTATTCCTCCGCTCCCAGCCGCGGCGCCGCAGTGGTCAGTGGAGCCGTTGCTGGCGCATCCCGCCGGGCGCAACGCTGAGCTGGTTGATCGCGCGCGCAGAGGAGCCACCCGCGCGCGGCAGAGTTTTGGGAGCAAGGCGCCCAAACTGAGGCCACTGGCTCTCTACAGTCCGCCTGGCCTGTAGAGCACTTCCACAGCGGTGCCAGCGGCGGGCCGAGTGCCGGTTTTTGCCGTAAGTTCGCCGTCTGCCAAAAACGGTGGTCGGAAGATGATTCTGGCCAGGCGTCCTGTGACACAGAGGTCAGAGCGTGCGCGGATGCATCCGACTCGCATGGCGGGTGCTGTTTTTTTATTCATTTTGTTTTTTATCTTTATTACTGTTGTTGTCTAGTTTTTCTTGGTGTTTTTTGTTTTTTTTGTGGTTGGTTGTTTTTTTTTTTTCATTTTATTGTTTGTTTTATTGTTTTTTTTTCTTTTTGTTTGTTTTTTGTTTGTAATTGCGTTTTTTGTTTTTTTTGCTGTTTGTTTTGTTTTTGTTTTGTTTATTCTTCCGTGTTATTTTTTGTTTTAACTCAGTTTTGGGCTGCAGCAGAGCGCATCGTGCGTTCTGATGGCGACGCGATTATCCCTTGAATGGTTGCTTCACAGAAGGCTTTCGGTGTGCCCCCGGTTGGGTGCAAAAACGACTTGCGTAAGGCCTACCACCAGCTCAGATCGGGCGCCGCCGCGACCCGGTCCGGGTGGTGCAATTATTTTGGCACCCGCGCGACAAGGTCGTGGTCGGTCGGGAATTGTTACCCCAGGGAGTCGGCACTGGAGGCGCGGTTACCAGCGCGAGCGTGGTATTCCCTAGCCGCAGGGATGTTTTACACAGGTCTCTTTTGTTAAGAAGCTCCCTCCCGCTGGATTTCATTTTCTTTCATACGTGCACATTTAATAGATAACGAATTTCCGAAACTTGGCCCAGTTTCTTGGCGCTGGCATTTTTATTGATATTCCCCCAGATCTTCTTGATATTCCAAATTTCTTCCTCGAGACCTTCCTCTCGATCTCCTCCTCAATATTCCCCCCGATATTCCTCCAGATCTTCCCAGATGTTCCCCGGATCTTCCTCCAGATTTTCTTCCAGATTTTCCCCGGATCTCCTCCCAGATCTTCCCCGGATCTCCCCGGTGTTCTTCAGATTTTCCGCTCGATCTTCTCCCAAATCTTCCCCGGATCTTCTTGGATGTTCCCCACACCCCACCCGGATCTTCACCCAAATAGATCTTCACCGAAATCTCTCTTCCGGATCGCTCCCCAGATCTTTCTCCAGATCTTCTTCTTGATATTGCCCCAGATTTTGTCCAGATCATGCCCAAGTTCTTTCTGATATTCCCCGGATGTCCCTCCAGATCTTCTTCAGATCTCCCTCCTGATCTTCCCCAGATCTTCTCCAAATCTTCGTCCGGATCTTCCCCCAGATTTTCACTCAGATCTCCCGCTGGATCTTCACCGAGATTTCTCCTCCAGATTGCTGTCCAGATTTTTCTCCAGATCCTCCTCCAGATCCTGCCCCAGATGTTCGTCCATATCTTCCCCCAGGTCTTCACCCATACCCTTCTCACTTTAGATCCCCCTAGCTCATCTGCCTAGATCTCTTTTAGTTCTTCTCCCGGATCGTCCCCAGATGTTCACCCAGATCTTCTTCCGGGTTTTCGCCCGGATCTCTCTTCCAGATCACCCCCCCGATCTTTCTCCAGATCTTCCTCCAGATTTTGCCCCACATCTTTTCCAAAGTTTCCCCCGCATCGCCCCCCAGATCATCCTCTAGATCTTCCTAGTTCATCTGCCGAGATCTTCCCAAGATCTTCTCCCAGATCTCCACCCAGATCGTCGCCCAGATCTTCGCACAAATCGTCACCCAGATGTGTCCTCCAGATCTTCCCCTAGGTTTGGCTCCGGATCTCCCTCCAGATTTTGCCACAGATTTTCTCCTGATCTTTCCTTAGATCTTCCCCCATATAGTCCTCTAGATCTTCCTAGTTCACCTGCTTCGATCTTCCCCAGATCTTCGCCCAAATCTTCACCCAGATCTACGCCCAGATCTTCGCCCATATCTTCCTCCATATATATATACTTTCAGATAGTACCCCAGATCTTCACCCAGATCTTCACCGATATCTCTCCCCAAGATGTTCCCCCTGATCTTTCTCCAGATCTTCCTCCAGATCTTGCCCCCGATTTTCCCCAGATCTTCGCCCAGAGCTTCCTTCATCTATTCTTCCATATCTTAACCCAGATCTTCACCGAGAGCTCTCTTCCAGATCTTCCCCCAGGTCGTTCTCCAGACCTTCCTCCAGACGTTGCCGCGGATCCCCAGATCTTCCCGCAGATATTCCTCCATGTCTTCCTCCAGATCTTCCTTGTTCATTTGCCTCGATCCACCCTCCAGATTTTCACCCAGATTTTCCCCCAGATCTTTGCCAAGATCTTCACCCAGATTTTGCTTCGTATTTTATGTCAGATATTCTCCCTGATCCTCACTCTGATCTTCACCGGGATCTCTCCTCCAGATCTCCCCCATTAGATCTTCCCCCAGGTCATCCTCAAGATCTTGCCCCTGATCTTCTCCAGAACTTCCCTAGATCTCCCCCCAGATCGTAGTCTGGATCCTCCTAGTTCATTTGCCTAGATCTCCCTTCGATCCTCACCCAAATCTTCACGCAGAGCTTCCTCCATATATTCTTTCAGATCTTCACCCAGATCTTCGCCCAGATCTTCACCGAGACCTTTCCCCCAGATCATATCCCAGATGTTTGTTCAGATCATCCTCCGGATCTTGCCCGAGATCTTATCCAGAATTTCCCTCAGATCTTCCTCTAGATCTTCCTAGTTCATCTGCCTCGATCTTCCGCAAATCTTCACCCAGATCTTCCTCCAGATCTTCGCCCAGGTCTCTCCTGCAGATCTCCCTTCATATATGCTTTCAGATATTACATCGGATCTTCACCCAGATCGTCACCGACAATTTTCCTCCAGATCTTCCTCCAGCCCAGATCTTCTGCGGATCTTCCCGCAGATCTTCCTCCAGATCTTCCTCTAAGCCCTCGTGGAAAATCTGCCTAGCTCTTCACCAGATCTTTCCCCAGATCTTCAACCACATTTTCTTCATATAATATTGCAGATATTTTCCCAGATCTACACCATGATCTTCATCCAGATCTTCACCGAGATCTCTCCTCTGGATATCCCCCTGATCGTTCTCCGGATCTTGCTCCAGATCTTGCTTGCCCCAGATCTTCTCCAGATTTTGCCCCATATCTCCCTCCAGATTTTCCTCCGGATGCTCCTAGTTCGTCTGCCCAAATGTTCCCCAGGTCTTTTCCCAGATCTTCACCCAGATCTTCGCCCAGATCTTCGTCCAGATCTTCACCCAGATCTCCCTTTCATATCTCATTGCAGATATTGCCTACGATCGTCACCCAGATCTTCACGGAGATCTCTCCTCCAGATGTTCCCCCAGGTGTTTTTCCAGATCTCCCAGATCTTGCCCCAGATCTTCTCCAGATCCTTCCCCTGGTTTCACCCAGACTTCCCCCGTGATCCATCCTCCAGATCACCCCCCAGATCTCTCCTCCAGATATTCCTCCAGATCAGCCCCATATCTTCCCCCAGATGTTTCTCCAGATCTTTCTCCAGATCTTGCCCAAGATCTGTCCTCCAGGTCCTCCACCTCCAAATCTTCTCCAGATGTTTCCCCAGATCTTTACCCAGATCTTCACTTGGGTATTCATCCAGATCTCTCCTCTAGATATCCCCAGACCTTCCACCAGATGTTTTTCCAGATCTTCTTCCAGATCTCCCCCCAGATCTTCTCCAAATCTTCGCCCAGACCTTCACCCAGATCTTCACCAGAGTCTTCCTCGAGATCTCTCCTCCACTGTAGATGTTTCCCAGATCGTTCTCCAGATCGTCCTTCAGATTTCCTGCCGGTCTTCGTCCATATCCACCGCCACATCTTTCTCCGCATGTGCCTGCATGACGTGTTGGATACATTGGTGCAGAGCCCCCGGCCCCGCGCAATCGGCATCATCACTGGCGCAATCTGTATCGAGAAACCACCAACATTGGCGCCGCGCTGCGCTAAGAAACTGCATGCTTCAAAGCTGGCTCTCGCAGAAGGGCTAAGACATTCAGCAAAGCTGGATTTCATTTTCTTACTCGAAGATTTATTAGCATACGTTTTGAGTGTAAACCGTTGGTTTTTCATCAATGCCCACAACTACTTCGACGACTATTCGTTGTGGGAGCCACCTTGGCGTGCAGCGTCTGCCCGGTTCGTCACCAGGGAAGTGCTACAGGTGCTCGAGCATGGCACTATCGATGCCAAGGCCGCACATGTCCGCTCGATTCCTTTACTGGGCCTGGTTATCAAATCTCGCGAAAAAGGCCCACTTGTCTGCAACCGCACTTGCAGACAGGAGCCGCTCGCCCGGGAGTGCGAGGACCTCGCTCGCAGCCGCCCGCAGGCGGGCTCACCGGCCACGCGCATAGGGAAATTAGTGTTTGCTTCGCGGGGCCTGCAGGGCAAAACTTGCGCGCACGCCAGGCGGCCGTTTCTTGAAGCCTGAGGGAAGGTGGGGGCTATCCAGGAACTGGGCGCTTGGCCGCCGCATGTGCAGGTTTCCTTGCACGTTTGGGCCGACCTCTTGCGGCGCGGACCCCCTCGCGCTGCACTTCTGGCGCCCGCTGGCTCCCTGGTTGCCGCGCTGCACGGGGACGCCGCCTTGCGCGCGCGCAGGGTTGCCGCCGCGCTGGTCATCCCAGCGCAAGGTTTTTGCAAGATCTTCACCATGGTCCTCCCGCCTGCTGTGTTGTAGACGCACGGGCCGAGCGAGGAACGCGCCATCATTGGCGCTGAGGCGTGGTGGATTGCTAAAGCGCATGAAGTTTGAGGCGTCAGGTTAAGGTCAATATTTGTCTATTGTTTTGGAGAACACGTCGTCCGTCACGTGTATCAAAGGGTATGCCCATTCCCCCCACGTCGCCTGCGTGATTGGGGCAGTACACGACTTGATGTGCGCCTCTGACATCATGTGTTTGTTTGAATACGTCCACACGGATTCCAACCCCCCTTGACTCAAGCCCTTGACGCTGCTTCTCGCGAGGGCGGGGAAACGGCACTTCGAGCGCTCGGGGCTGAGGTGATCGCTGTCACCCCCGCGCTCTCGGTGGACCTTGGCCGCTGCCATTGTGCATAGGGCATTTGAGTCGCACCGTTTCTGCTGGAAAAAGTATCCCACCTCTTGTCGGGGGGGCTGTTGCTGCTGCTGCTGCTGCTGCTGCTGCTGCTGTTGCTGTTGCTGCTGCTGTTTTAGTCCATCCGTGGCCTCGTCGTCGTTGTCCTCCTGCTCCTCCCCCTCCTCCCCTTCCTCCTCCTATTCCTGCCCTCTCGGTTCTTCCCTCCTGCTGCCTCCCCGCTCCCCCCCCCTTTTTGGCCCCCATCGTCCTTCGTTCCGCTGGGGACACAAAACACAGCATGGCTCTCCAGGTGTGGTTCTGGCCGGCCGCCGGGCACTGGAGGAGAAGGAGGAGGAAGAGGAGGAAACGGAGGACGGCGGGGAAGTGGAGAACAGGAAGTACGAAGAACGAGAAGTTGATGACTGATGAGCCTAGCCTGTCTTCCACCACCACCGCCATAAGTTTGAAGGGGGAACCACGAGGAGGGGGGAAGGAGGAGGAGGAGGAGGAGGAGGAGGAGGAGGAGGACCCCCCCTCCAACTTACGGTGGTGGTGATGCCCACCAGATGAAGAAGCACACGGGGGACGTGCCGCGCGTGCGCGGCAACCGCGTTTGGCCCGAGGAGCACTGCGGCGGCCGTGGCGCTTTCCCGCAACACCGAGCGGGGCCGACCTTCTCCCTTCGGCGCCCCACCCAGGCGGCGCGGCCCGCGGCCCAGGTCGTGAACCGCCGGCCGGGCGCCCCTGCCACCCCAGCAAGCGCCCGCGGCGCCGCGCAGACTTCCGAGTCTATTGCGGTTGCTTTTCGGCACCGCAGGGCGTTCCGGCCCCGCCGGCCTGTGTGTCGACGGCAGTCCGCAGCGTTGCCCGCGCGTCGTCTCGCCGCCGCTCCGCGGAGTGCAAGCACTTCCTGCTGCGACAGCAGCGGGCGGCCTAGCGGCCACGTGGGGCGTGTTCTGGCAGGTCGCTGATGTTTTTGGACAGGCCTCAGAAAGGCGCACTTGGGATGGGATGGTTGCTATCAGCAGAAACCGAGGCTGCAGCCCAAGACACCCCGACGAGGCCCCGCCCCGGCAGGTTTTGAGAGTCTGAGAAGAAGCCCGCGCTACAGGGTTAGACGGACGCGATGAGTCTTGCAGACAAGGTTGTGCAAGATCGCTTTTTGTGCAAAAGTGTGCCGTCCACTCTACGGACGCATGCGTCTCACCTGCGGGTGATATATTGGACCTGCGAGGTCTTTGGGGTCCCCCGCTGGGGTGCGCTGTTCAACACATCCGCCGTGTCGCGGCAGTCTGCGCGTGCTCTTCCACGCAGCGTGGCTGGCTCAGCGCTTGGGCCCTGGCGCAAGGCGATCCCATATCATCTTTCGCGGCATTCGTGTAGACGCCGCCAAGTGCAGGACCCGTAGGCAACCCCGCCAGAGAGTCGACTGGCGGCTCCTGCGGCGTCTGCTCCGCCACGCGCTGTCGGTGCAGCGCGCGCGGTGGTGTGCTATCGTGGCCTCAGCGTATGATTTTCTCTCGCGGATGCCGTCCGAGCTTTTCGCGCAGTGCGAACGCGCCCTCGTGCAGACACAGGGCGGCCGTTTCGCATGGGCCAATCCATCGTAAGCAGAGGGGGGACCAGTGCACCGTGTTTTCGTTTTGCACGTGCGGAGTGGATCAGGGCATCCGCCTGCATACGTGGTTGCCGGTGTGGGACGAGCTCTTCCGCAATGAGGGCCGCCCGCTTGGCGGATGCATTCCGGCATCCTGGACGGCGGAGTTTCGCTGCCACTTGCGCGCTCTGGGGGTCGCTAGCCCCGGGGCGTGGTTCGGGCATGGTGTCTGGCGAGGCGCCGCTGCGGACGTTTTTGTCGCGTCGGGCGTGAAGGCCATGCTCGCGCGAGGGGGCTGGCGCTCTGTGGCGTCTGCCGGGCCGTACGTGTCTGGCGACGAGGTCGCCGCCGGCCTGCTGGCGCAGGGCGTCGTCGACGAGTCGGGCCCTGAGAATTAGGCACCGTTGTGCCCCGTCTCTGGGCCCCCCCGCTTCCAAAAGTGGCATTGGGGCTGGGGGCGGCCTGCGAGACTCTTTGCGTTGCCAGTGTTGTTTCTGTTTATTACAAAAAATGGAGGAGGGCCAGGGGGAGAGCTAGCTCGGACTTGCGAAGGCGAAGCGAAGTTTGACTCCCACCGCTCCTTCCGCACTTCCCGGCGCGCGCATGCGCCTTGCAGCAGGTCTGGCGCCGTCTGGGGGTCGAGACTGGGGCCGCTTCTCCCGCCCGCCCGCGCCCATTGTTGTTCACCTCTGGCGGTGGCGCCGCTGCGCCTCCAGTCCTTGGCCTTCCGCTGTGGTCCCGCGCTGGGTGCCGGGGGCGGCCTGCGAGCCTCCCTTGCGTGGCCACTTGAAAAGAGGAAAAAGAAACGAGGACACACGGTTTTCCTGAGAGTAGCCAGCCGTCTGTACGTGAACTGGCCCGTGGGACACCTCCCGCTGGTGGCCTGGGCCGCCCATGCACGCGGCCGTGCTCTCCTGCGGGGCAAGGGGTGCCGCGCGTCATTTGGCTTGCGGTGTCCTTGCCTCCCGTCCCCCTGCTGCTGCGCGTGCCTTGCCGTGGCCTCCCTCCCTCCTGCTCGGCTGCATCCTCTCTCCCTCGCGTTCCTGCTCCTCTCTGTGCTGCTCTCGTTTCTCAGTCCTTGCCGCATGTGCCGCGCCTGTTCCCTCCCCCTGCTCGCGCAACTGCTGCCCTCGCGTGGCAGTCCGTTTTTCTCACCCGGCTGACCGAGCCTTCCCAGTATTCACCACGACGCCTGGGGGGTCGGTCTCGTTTTGCTGCGGGAGGAAAAAACACAGTGGAACACCTCCAGTTGGGCACTCAACGTGTGAGAGGTACGCCGAAGTGGGCGAGGCAACACCATGTGGCATTGCCCACTTGGCCCTTCGGTGGAGCTCGCCAAAAGGCCACCACACCTGTTAGTAGTGTGCCGAGATGGGCGAGGGCGACGCCATGTGGTTTTGCCAACAGGGGCCGTGGCGGAGTGGACCGAAATGTGCGGTGGGACGCAATGGGGTTTTGCCTCATGGGACCTCCAGCTTAGCTCCCTGAGGGGTAACAACAGGTGAGATGGTTGTGCTGGAATGAGCGGGGTTGGCGTCATGTGACCGTGCCTATCGGGGCCTTGCTCAATCTGGGGCCTTCGGTGGGACGACATGCGGTCTTGAGCAACATCCCCATCTTTGAGCGGCGTTTTCCGAGCCGTATCGATCTATGAGGGTTTTTGGGCACGGAATTGAGCGAAAACGCGCGGTGCGAAAGACAAATTGCAGCGGCCCCCAGACATTCGCCGATTTGTTTTTTTAAGTCCTGGCTCCAGGCCCCGAAAACAGCTCCGAATTCGGAAATCCAGGAATTATATCTTCGCAGATCTGGGTCTCGAGAGTGCCTGGCAGCGGTCAGGCGGGCCGGGACAAGGATGAATCCGTTCCAGAGCGATTCGGAACGCTCCCAGAGCGTTCTGGAACACCCTGAGAAGAAGGCCGCGGCGCCCGGCACATTCTCCAGAACCGCCAGATCTCCGAGATTTCCGGTGTATCCTTGTCCCCGATGCGTTTCAATGTGGCCCTTTTAGGTGGGGTCGGAGTATATGGGGTCAGCGGATCTCGCCGCATCCCCGATGCTTCGGCGATTCACCGGCGATGCATTGGCGAGACATCGGCGATGTTGCTCGATGTGGGGTCCAATTTTTCCACGCCGACGTCGACGATGCATCGCTGGCGTCGAGAATGCATCGCCGATGCATCGGCGATGAGGCGCGGTCCTCCGTCCCCATCCTCTCGGCCCCCTTCTACAGTCGGGGCTCTGAAGAAGGAACCGTTTTCGTTGGGGAGGGGCTCGGTGTTCCTTGATTGTTCTGCAGTTTGCCTTCTGTTCTCCTGAGGTTCTCCATGGGAAATCGAAGTTCAACTTATGGGAGAAAGGGGCCCCGTTCCTTATTGAATCGCTTCGCTCATTCCGCCGTCCCGTGGGGGCCTCTTGGGGGCGTCTTAGGGCCTCCAAGAGGCCTCTTGGGGGCCTCTTAGAGCCTCTTGGGGGCCTCTTGGGGGCCTCTTGTGGGCGTCTTCGGGGCCTCCTGAGGGCTCTTGGGGGCCTCTTGGGGCCTCTCAGGGGCCTCTTGAGGCTTCCTGGAGGCCTCTCAGCACCGAGGGCTCGAAATGTTGTTTCGTGATACCCCTCTGGCCCCGTTCGTTATTTGGGGTTCCTCAGGTCAGCGCCCCGACTGCAGGAGGCCTCTGCTCAAGCAAGCTGCGGGCAGTCGGGCCCGAGCACTGCGCGGCCCCGGCCCGCGGCGGCCCAGCATGTGGGAGCAGCCCGTGCGGGCGCGCGCACGGCACCCAGCACCGTGGCGCGCCGCTGGCCCACCCGGCGCCCCGCTCGCGACGGCGGCCATGATCAGGTGATCCTCCTCCTCCTCCTCCTCCTCCTCCTCCTCCGCCTCCCTCCTGCCTCCTCCTCCTCCTCCTCCTCCTCCTCCTCCTCCTCCTCCTGGTGGGGGGGCGCCACGGGCGCCCCCCCCACCTCAAGAGACGTCCCAACAGACGTCCTCCTCCTCCTCCTCCTCCTCCTCCTCCTCCCTCCTCCTGTCCTCGGGCGCCGTCTCCGTCAAGTGGGCCAGGGACTGCTGGCGCACCAGACCATCTGTGGTCCATCGGCACGTGCGCGACCCTCAGCAGCCTGCAGCGCTGGAAGTCCCTGGCGATGGACCTGAGGAGGCCACTGGCGACCCCGATAGGCTCATGGAGCACAAGCTGCAAGCGTGGCGGACTATCTGGACTGACCCGCATGCGTCTCGCGAGGACCTCTGCAAGGGTATGCAGTTGTTGCTCCAGCACGCTCGCTGCCACCCCATCAGCGAGCTTGAGGACGATTGCATCATGAGAGTTGTCTCCAGGATGGCTCCCAACAAGGCTCGAGGTGTAGACGTCCTCAGCCCCATCGACATTCAGAGGCTGCCGACCGAGGGGCAGCAGCAGTTCGGCGACTTGCTGCGCGAAGCTGAGAGGGTAGGCTCGTGGCCTGTCCAGCTTTTGCTTGCCGTGGGAGCGACCGTCCCGAAACCTTCAGGAGGTGATAGGGTTATCGGTGTTTTGCCGACCTGCATGGGAGTCTGGTCGAGAGCTCGGGCCCCGATCACGGACCAGTGGTCCCAGGACTTCGGTGATTTTTGGGACACGGCGATCCGAGGGTCCTCGGCTCTTAGAGCGGCCCTGCAGAGGGCCATCTTAGATGAGTCCTTCTTCCAGCTGGGTTTCACCTCGGCCTCCCTCCTCCTCGACCTCGAAATTTTTACGACCACGGCAGCATGCTGTTACTGCTGCGTGTTTCGGTCGAGCAGGGATCCCCCTCGATTGTCACCCTTATAGAAGTGCAGATGCTCCTTGCTCCCAGGATCCTTCTGTCCAGGGACATCGCGTCGGATTTAACTTTTCCCACCCGCTCCACTGTTGCAGGCTCTGCTCACGGTGTCAAACTCGCCAAGGTGTTCCTGGGTCCGATTTTGTCGGCCGCTCATGCGGCCTCGGGGGTCCGTGCCCTTGTCTCCTCCGCGGGCCTCTGGACCTTTGTTGATGACACCGTGGCGCGGGCCGAGGGTACTGAGGAGAATGTGATAGCTCAGCTTCCGACGGTTGGCCAGTCTTTCGCCCGTTCCTTTGCCTTGCATCAGCTGCCCGTGTCGCCTAAGACCAAGGTCATTGCATCCTGTCCTAAGGTTGGAAAGCGCATTGTGGCCAACCTGAGGGAGGTAGGCATCCCAGCCTCCCTGGCGTCCCAAGCTGTTGACCTGGGTTGCGACACGGTAGGTGGGGCTCGTCGGGTGGTCGTTAAGCTTTTGGACCGTCAGAGGAAGGCCCGTCCACGTGCACAGCGTATTCGACGTTTGCGACGCCACGCCAAGGCGGCCAAAGTGTCCCAGGGGCTCTGGCTACATGGGGCGCTTCCCCAGGCCGTTTATGGCCATCAGGCCATGGGCTTCTCCCCCTCATCAATCCTAGCCTTGAGGCGTCAGGCGTCCCAATCTGTTGCCAGTAAAAGTCCAGGCCGTTGTCTGTCCACGGTGCTTTCTCTATTTTATGCCGAACGCGAGCCCTTCATCGCTTTGAGGGCTCAGATTTTATTCACGTGGTTTGACATGTGGAACCGGTTCCATGAGTTGCACGCCCGTATCACCCGCTCGTGGCATCACATTCGGGGCCGCCTCGACCTTATGGCCTCGAAACGCTGGCGTCGGGTGATGGGCCCGATTGGGGCCGTCGTCGCCACGTTACTTGATGTTGGCTGGAAGCCCGTCTCCCCCGTTGAATGGCACAGACCTGTGGGTGACCAATATGAAGTTTGGCACCTTCCCGATCGGGACGACATTGAACGTCTCGAGGGCGATTTTGATCTCGCTGAAATGGTCGACGATTTCAGGGAAGATTTGAATGCTGTCTTGTGGGCTCAGGCATCGTCCCATCCTCACGGCGACGACCTGGCCGAGGGGGCTGACCTCCAACCTTTGCGCCAGGAGTTGAGGCGTCTCGAGCGACGGGATCAGTATGAGCATGTTGGCCTTCTCGCGACTGTCGTGTCAGGGGGCCAATGGACCCACGTCCGCCAACATGAGGCGGGGTATGCTGTCGCCACTACCTGCCCCCGATGCGGGTTGGCTCCCGAAGCGCTGTTTCACAGAGTGTGGGCATATCCCAAGAATTGCAATCGTGAGGCCTTTGAGCTCTCTGGCGGCCTCTGTCACCAGGCCAGAGTGGGCCACGAGGCTAACCCCGCCTTGTGGTTCCGTGGCCTGCCTCCTAGGTCTTGAACTTGACCTGTGTTCAAGGACGGAGGGGCGGATGTGGCTTGGGAGGTGGGGTCGTCGCCGTCGGTTGTCGAAGGATCCTCTGTCGCCGCGGCCAGGTCCCCTGCGGGGCTCCTGCGGGTCTTTGGAGACGGCTCTGGAGGTGCCT